CAGGATGTGCTTACGTACCCGGAGGCCGGCGTGTCCTGGGCACACAGAGTCCTTGCTGGTCCTCTTGGAAGGGCTGAAGGCAGGGTCCACAGACGTGGGCACCCGGTGGGCACCGTGCCCGCCTTCTCAGGGCACAGTCCAGGCTCCCTGGGCAGGCGGCCACATCTGGGGAGAGGCAGAGGCAGGACGGGTCGTGGCCCTGCTCTGAGGCCCTGCACAGCAGCAGCACCACCAAGCACCGGATACATCCCCCACAGAGCAGGCCTGGCTCCGGCCATTGTTCTGGGTGGGCCTTTCCTCCCTGCTGCCAGGGATCGGAACCAGGAAGACAAACAATCCCAAGACTTATCAGAACTGCCCTGCCCCACCTTCTCCCCAGAGCCCACCTCCAGGGCCTGGTCCAGCTGCCGCACCGGAAAGTGTCCCTCACTGTCCAGGCAGTACTGGGCTCCACGATCAGGGCCTTGTTGCCCCCAAATGCAGCCTCCTGTGCCCTGCACCCTCTGCCCAGGCTGGGAGCCTAGATGGCGGGGCCCAGGTCTGTTTCTCTGGCTGCTGGCCACCCTACACCTCTCCCATGGCATAGGGCTGCCCAAAATTCCCATCACACCATCCCGCAGCCCTAAAGGGCCAGCATGGAAGCAGTTGCTCCCTCGAGCCCAACCTATGACTTGTTCCAGGGCAGAGACCCTGCTGGGGTAGGGGAGACCTGGGATGGAGCTGGCCAGAGCCACCTGCTTTGGGTGAGGAACCCGGGATGGGGTCACTCCCACGGCCACACTGCAGCCAGGTGCCTGCTCAGGGCAGGGCGAGGCTCCTCTCCCTCTTAGCCCCCCAGCACACCTGAATCTCCCAGATGCGGGCCCAGACCACAGTGTCCTGCTTGTACACACTGCTAATCGGTCTCCCAGAGAAGGATCACCTCAGGCTTCCAGAAGGGGCAGGAGCCCATCCTGGTGCTGGGGGAGGCAGTGGCCCTGCCTCAGTTTCCCCCTGGGATGCAGAAGGTGAATGTCCTGAGGTCTGGGACTCTGGCTTCCTGAGGACCCAGCCACAGCCGGAGGGGTACACAGCAGGACCATCAACCCCACTGGGGAGGCTGGGGGTGCCTCTGGCTGAGGGTCCCTGAGGCTGCCCACCTCCCCCACGGCAGGCTGGGCCACTGGGGCCCAGGGTGACGTGGGCGATGAGGGACTCTGTTCTTCTCCAGACCTTGGTTGCCCTGGCTTGGTTTCCTTGGTAACCTGACACTCTGCCTCAGGCTGTAGGCATCTGGGCAGAGGAAGTTCCGGCAGCCCCCGCTACAGGTGGGCAGGTGGGGGGGTGGGGACACAGGTTCCCATCCCTGGCATCCTCACCCTCCACCACCGTGTCAGCAAGCTCCAGGGCCTGGCCGGAGCCTGCGGCTTGGGCTGGTTAAACATTAATTCTGTGTCAGCAGGTCCATCTGGACCCCACCCAGTGGCTGGGCACACAGAGAGCCGGGCAATTCCTGCCCCTAGTGCTGATAACCCAGAGTGCACCAGGCTGAGGGCAGGGGCCTGAGGTACAAAGCCGGCTCTGGGGTCTGGGCTCTGAGTCCTCTCTGACCACCTTCCTTGAAGGCTTCTAGCCCAAGAGGTGGCTGCTGCCTATTTACTCCAGAAAGGCAGCCCCTCTGGCCTCAGGGGGTAGAGGAGGAGGCTCCAGGAGCAACAGCAGCTGGAGAGTGACTGGCACCCTGCCCCACATCAGGGCAACCCCAGGGTTCCTGCCAAAGTGCTGAGCCACAGCCTTGGGCACTGGGGGTGGCAGCCGGCTGCCCACAGAGGCAGGTATAAAGCTGCAGTGGCCTATGGGCAGCAGGGGCTGCACTGTCCATGGGGCTGAGCACAGCAAGCTCTAGACTGTTTCCATTGGAGGCCCCATCTGGCAATCCCAGAAGCAAGCTTTCAGCAGGCGGCCTCCGCCATCACTGGCCAGCCACCCTTGGGTTCTCGGGCCTCCTTGGATTCTTCCCTGGTCATGCCAACCTCCCATCCAGGGGCACTGTGCTCAGGAATAAGCCTGGCCTCATGAGAGGCCTTACAGGCAAAACCAGATTGCCCAGGTTAGCATCCCAGCTCCGCCACACACTAGCCGTTTAACTTCTCTGTACCTCAGTTCCCTCATCTGTGAAACGGGCTAATAACAACACCTGTCCCGAAGGGCTGCCAGGAGAACTGAGGGGTCATATGTGAAGTATCTGGAACTTCATAAGTGCTAGAGACCGTCAGCTGCTCGTCTTGTTGGAATCATTACCCTCACACCACTCTGGATGCTGGGCACAGTGTCCTAGTCTAGCCTCCTTGTGGGCGGGGAGGCAGAGTCCTGGATTCCCGCAGACCATCCCTGCTTGAAGCCTCAGTGCCCATTTGGGAGGCTGAGACGTCCTCTCGGGAGCCTGGACTCAACTTCTCTACCCGCGTCTACCCTGGAGGGTGCCCCGAAACCCCAAGCTGCTCCCTGCCGGAATGTGGGGGAAAGCTCTGAGGCTAGAAGGGCCCCGTCCCCACCCCACCCCCCTCCACAGAAGCCAGAACAAGACCCTAAGTGTGGGGCGGGCTGTTAAAGGCCCACGGAACCTTCAGACCCGGCCATGGCAGCAAAGTAAGGCTCGTGCGCAACACCACCAGAGGCGTGGAGAAAGGCAGACCGGCGCCGAGCGGCAGACCCCGGATAGACACGGTCAGCAAGGCCGGCAGGCACCACAGCCAGGCCCCGCCACGCTGAGACACAGAGACACGCACAACAGAGCCACGCACAGGGCGGAGTTGGCTGCGGGCCCACCGAGCCAGACCCAGGGGACACGCAGCTGCAGGCGCAGAGACCTCCGAGACCCAGGCAGACAGGCTCACAGACCCAGAGACAAAGGCAAGAAGCGCATGAAGTTCAGGTTCGCCGCCCGGACGCCGCGCCCGTGCTGTTTACCGCACCCTGGGCCAAGGCGGGGACCGCGGGCTGTCAGGGCGCC